AGTTGGAAATATTTACAAGTTTCATTGTGTGATTACTTAAAATATTTGAACATACAGCTTTATATGCGAAAATACCATTAAACATTTTAATGCTAATGGGAAGAACTAAAGAGAATTACACCTTTTTTGGCACTTTTAATTTTCTATTCGGCACGTTTTAGCACTTTTTTATCCTCAATATGGCACTTCATAGCTATGTATGTTTGGCAGGCAGCCCTGTTGGCAAATTTGATCACTAGCTGACCTTCACCGAGCGCTCTTTGCTGGGTTCGGACGACAAAAATGGAAGTAAATAACAAGTATTCGTAGTAGATGTGCATTTCTTATCTTTATAAAAAACAATTCATTTCTCCTCGTATCCTTGTACAAATAAGGAGCTAAAGCGGCCTTATAAGGGTCGATATCTGTAGACTGGAAAATCGACCAGCTAGTGGTTGAGATGTCATTTACACGGGTCGATTTTGGTTGAACGACAAAAATCTACTAGAAAATCGACCCGTGTAAAGGCGCCTTAATCCAGCGAGCAATTATCATTAAAGTTAAAATGCCTTGGTTAAAATTAATAAAAAGTTATTTCATTTTTAATATTTTTATTGAGCTTTGTACCACGATTGTTTATTAGGAAAAATTGAAAAGGCAACCAAGTCTAAGCGGTAGAAGTTATAGCACTATTTCGGAGATCACCACATCTCCTCATCAGACTTCTTTTTTCTAGACTTCAGCAGAAGACTTCTGCTGAATGAGGAGATGTGGTGATCTCCGAAATAGTGCTATAACTTCTACCGCTTAGACTTGGTTGCTTTTTCAATTTTTCCTAATAAACAATCGTGGTACAAAGCTCAATAAAAATATTAAAAATAAGATGTTAACAAGCCACAATAACATTGACAAAAAAAAGTTATTTCATTCTTTCTTTACCGGGACAATTGTTACATCGGTGGGCAACGACGCAATTACAGAACTTTAGACAGATCGGGTTCAAATCGGGCGATTTTGAGGGCCTATTCACGAATTCAAGTGTATTTGCAAAGTTGCTGTAGCTCACCAATGTAACAATCGTGTCGATAAAAAGGTAAAATATAACTTTTAGTTTGCTATTAAAAACCCCACCTCCTTTCTATTTGAAGAGTAAATTTGTTGATGCAACAAAACGGAGCAGATTTTCAGTTGAGCGAAGTAGAGGACTAGGTTTCAAATTTTTTCGACAAAACGGAACAAATCTACTCCTACTGGAGCGAAGTCCGAACGATGGCTTATTGCGTATATGAGGAAAATGTATGCTCTTTGTTTGGTACACACAGTCAGCCATTGGCTGCATTTCTTTATTCATTCTGAACGTTTGGAATAAACTTTTTTGTTTACTTATTCCTTAGAACGTTCCTGATTATATGTTGACGTATATTTCAAACGCATTCTGTTTATTCCGGCTGTGAATTGGGATTATCCGGAATGTATAAAGAAACGCAGCCATTATAAATTTATTAGCCACAAAATTGTCACCGCTTGAAAAATGACTAGTGATGAGCTGAATTGCCGGTACCCAATACTCGGTACCCAATACTTCAGAAAGATTTCGGTACCCAATACTATTCTACACATAATTGCAACTTTTTGACATATTTTTCAACAGAATATCTGTCAAAAAAGTTGCATCGACTAAGCTAACAGCATCTAGTTTTTCGTTGTTAAGCTGTTGTTAGCAAATTTTGCTGTGAGGTTAAATTGAGCAAATTGTGTTAAAAAATGGTATTTGATCGGCGTAGGCTTCGCGAAGTCGATAAGCCTTTCGAACTAACACCAACGGAGTTCCGGAGGCTCTATAGACTTAGTCCCGGCATGGCTGAAAATTGTGAGAAAAAGCATTTGCTTAAAAAGTCAGTCGAAGAAGAATATCGTAACTGGACATCGATCTCAAATGGCTATGACATTATGAATCATATTATTCGGCCTAGCACCATTACGCTTTTCCTTTGTTTACTTTTCAATATGATTTGGGAAACGGAGACCGTCAGTACAGTGGCATATATGTATATAAGTACATACTCGCAATATAAAAGTTGTTTGCTTTCAATTTAAAAAATTTAAACAAATTTGTTTTATAGAATCTTGGACGGCATTAGCGCACGCGCCTTTTCAGCACCAACTATATCTTCAATGAATTCCCCAATGCACCTGAAACTTAGTTGGCCAATCGCGCCCTCAATAGTAACAGGTAATGTGGTGGGTGCTGTTGTGAAGGGCTAAGGGCCGTTTACATAAGACTTTCTTCGCTTTGCTTGACAGTTCGAACTTTGACAACAAAGCGTGAAGCGTAGAAGATATGCTACAATAAACGCCTTGAGAGCTTCTGCGTTCTCCTTTTCCTCCATATTTTATCTCAGTAAAATAGATAACAATATAATAATACGCATTAACAATAGCAATAAAAATTCCTATTTACCTTATTTTTGTCATTAAATGCAAATGCAAGCGCACGAGAAAAAATACATGTAGACAGCTGATTGCCAAAGCGCGCAAAAGTTGACAGTTGCCAATTGCTTCGCTTTGCTTTCTTCGCATTCTATTTAGCAAGACTCATACAAAATCATGTATTGACCTTATCTGTCAAAGCGGAATTATGAAGCAAAGCGAAGCAAAAGTCTTATGTAAACGGCCCTTTATTCATTGATACCACAAAAATGGATACAAAACTATATCAATGCTGTTGGCATAATACTCGCTGCTCTGCCTGAAAAATATTGGAATGAAAATGAACACCATGGGTGTTCTATTTGATAAATATTGTTTTCAAAGGAATGTGTATACATACATACGTCATCATTTCAGTGAGCCGCTGATATGTGTCTTCAGTTGTTATTTGCATAGTTACTGCCGCGAGTGCGGTTCACAACGCTCTTCTCCGCGTTCTCTTTGGCATTGTCGTTTGTCGAACCAGCCCACATGGCAGACGCTCGTTTGGCAAGTTCAATTTCCGTTGCTTGATAATGTGCGTGCGTTTTCCAGCACGGGATGCAGTGAGAAGGTGGATGGTGCTGCCTTGAGTAAAAATTGTGAAGACTCGCTGGCCGCACTAAAATCGCTGCAAGATATTATGTATGTCAATGCGGACAAATTGGCGTCACTTACTAACGAGGAAAGAGCGGAAACAAAGATGAGGAGTTTGCAGGGTGAGTTGAGTTTAGGGGAAGTTTAGTACCTTTTTAAAACTCTTATTAATTTCTTGTACGTAGATTGCATAGAATATTTGGCTAAATATCGGCATTGAAAGCACAAATATCACAACGAAAAACAACCACGCCAAAGAGGAGTTTTATGTGCCTAGTCAGGCATTTTTAACAGCGCTAATACAAATTTTCCCAGCCATTTTCTAGCACATAAAACAAAGGTGAGATATGGCGCTTTAAAATGTAAGCCATTAAATATCAGTGAATTCAATTTCTAAAAAAAATATTGCAGATTTATTTAATCTGACTTTGAAAAGTTTTGCGTTGTGCTGACGAATGCGGTCTGCAAACTGATGCCGTTCCCTATATAATGTTGTCTGTGTCGGATTCATTGCTAACGCCATTAAACGAAGGCATACTCGATTGTATGGATGTCATACAAAAGGTATTTTATTGTATTTAGTTACATTTCAACTATAAGAAAATTATTTTATGGCATTTCTATATAGGAATCCATGGACGATACATGCAATAATAATCGCAAAAGTTTATTGGTAACAACTGCGGGGGTAAATGCATCATTGTTTTCGAATGTCTTCACTGGGCGCTTGGCGGTTACTGCTTTACTACATCGATTCAAAGAAGTTTTGAAGCATTTCAATGACGACGATGCCCGATACAGCCCGCGACAAAAGATAGCACATCAAAATTTTTACCAGTTGTGACTACTTTTCTTTTGCTTTTTGTGGAATTTTTATAATTTTTGTACAAAGTCTCAAATTTGGACTTATATTGGTTTTGTTAGTTAAGGAGCTTAACTTTACCAAAAAATTAATGAAGCTTAAAAAGGCAAAAGAAAAGTAGTCAAAACTGGTAAAAATGTTTATGTGCTATCTTTTGTCGCGGGCTGTATATACACAAACCATTTACATCTATTGGGGAGGGCCCAGTGAATTAGTAAACTGGGAGAAAGCATGCGCACAAGTTTTCACCCCCTCTGCCAACACCGTGAATGCCTCTGCCATTGTTGCAGTTGCGGTAGCCATACGCTCTGTGGCAGCAGCCATTCTGCATATTGCCTCAGCATTGGAGCGGTTGGCCTCCGCGTTAGTTGCAGCACTTTCAGCAAGCGGCTAAGAAAATGAAAATTTTATTAATAATACAATACAAATACACATGCATGTTTAATTAAGTGGCAACTATTATGTACTTCCGTAGATTCTTATAATTGTAAGTACTGCTGTATTGGTAAGGGGAACAATAAGAAACAACATGAAAAGGAAAGGAGAGGACGCCACACTTAATGTCCCGTTAACTAAAAGCGAATTGATAACTGATGAATGTTTCTTTCGTTCATTTTGCTGTTTCCTTTTCGTGGATGATTTTTGTTTTCCCCTTGAAAAATATTCGTGTGGTAGAGCTAAAAGGAAGAGGACAGAAAAACGGAGATCGCTGTACAAAAACAGCCGCTAGAAGTTGTTAATATAAAGTTTCGACAAAATAAAGTTTAAAATAAACTAAAAACCCCCATTGCTTTCGATTTCGCTACAATTGAAAAAATTACCTTTTCTGATTCGGCCTGTGCCTCGGCAATTCTTAAAAATTTCGCCTTTGTTGGCGATTCTTCACCACTTTTCCGCTTAGCGGTGTTTGCCACCGAATTTCCGACTCGCCATCCGACACCGTTAGTGGAGGAATTATCATGATGTTTTCCTCCATAACCAGGCAGAAATTTTCATCCGCCGCCCCAATGTTAATTGCAGTTCCTAAAAATAGCATAATGAAAATTACAATAGGATTAGCATATTGGCATAGGCTGTTAATACGGTACAATTCAACTCACCTCTTCCATGGGAATATTCTCCTGGACATCCGGTTGCCCCTCCATATAGCTGCTTCCCACTAGAGCCATTACCCGCTTCTCTAATTCGTTCAAGGGAGGCTGTTGAAGTGGTATATTCCCCGTCAATGCTTGCTCCCTCTTGCGATCATGAACTCGCGTTGATGTTCGACTTTTTAAGTCGCGCCAGACCTTTGTGAAATAGAAACACACTTTCACACTTTACTATTCTTTGGTGTAGGCCACTTTCAGAAATACCTTATTGCAAAGCACCCCTAAGTATATAATGATGTCTGCTTTCAGCAAACATATTTTTA